TAGCAGGAAGTGGCAGGAAATCCTACATCACATAAGCAACAGGACCATGGGCAGACAAAGGAATGCAAGAAACTTCAGATGGACAGAAAGCCACATGTTTTGGGTGATAAGAGTTCTGTAACCACCTAGAGGGGTAGTATGGGGTGGGAGCTGGGAGGCAGTTTCAAGAGGGAGGGGATATATGTATACTTATGGCTAATTCATGTTGATGTTTGGCAGAAAACAACAAAATCCTGTAAAGCAATTATCCTTCAATTAAAAAATAAATGTTTGAAAAAAAAATGATATATTCTGAACTGTGGTGCTGGAGAAGATTCTTGAGAACCACTTAGACAGTAAGAAGATCAAACCAATCAATCCTAAAGGAAATCAACCCTGACTATACATTGGCAGGACTGATGCTGGAGCTGAAAATCCAATGCTTGAGCTGCCTGATGGGAACTGACTCATTGGAAAAGACACTGATGCTGGGAAAGATTGAAGGCAGGAGGAGAAGGGGACAGCAGAGGATGAGATGGTTAAATAGCATCACTGACTCAATGGACATGAGTTTGAGCAATTTCCAGTGATAATGAAGGACGAGGAGCCTGGAGGCCTGAAGTCCAAGGGATTACAAAGAGTTGGACACAATTTAGCAGCTGAACAACAACAATTCTGTGCGTGATTTTAAACATATATCTAAATATGTCATGATTAACAAATCTTTTTAAAGAGGAGTAAATAACTGCTCTAAATTAGAGTTAAATCTCCTGATTTGTCAAACGTCACATGAAACCAAGGATTATATATGGTTTTGTAGCAAACAATACAATTCTTCTGTTGAAGAGTACCAATATTCTGGATATATCAGGAGCTATTGATCCTCGTGTTAGGTAGTTAGAATTGGAAACAGGAATCCAGAAGGGTGGTGGCTAAAAGACAAGGAAGGGAAAAGCCCGTGGAAATAGAAGAAAGGAAGGTCTGAGGACCTGAGTGAAGACCTCAGGTAGAACAAACAGCACTCCTGGCTATCCCAATTTACATAGGGCAGGCTCAGGGGGAGAAAAAAAATAAAAATAAAAAAGAGGAGCCAAAGGGCTGGTGGTCTCTCTCTCCCCCACGTGCTGGGGTGCTCTTCTCTTTGCGTCTTTGAGTTGACATGCTCTCACACCTCGAAGATGGATTTTCCTGCTATTTTTTAAATAAAATAGAGCTGTAACATGGAGCTATAACACTGATTTGTCTAAGAGCTATAACATGGTCTGTTTGAGACCTGAGAGTTATAACACCGCCTGTCCAAGACCCGAGAGCTGTGATGTGCTGAGGGCGTTAATGTCCGTCACTCCAAATCCTTGTTGTGACGAGACAGAACCGAGGAGCATACACTTGCCTGACACTTGGAACAAGACAATAATTTAGAAGTCCATGGAACCTAGTCAAAATAAGTTCCTCCTTTTCAGATTAGAAAATGCTAACTGAAGGTTAGGATAAAGTGCAAGGAGGTTAGCCCTCTGGAAGACTGGAGAATTCATAAGAAGTAATACAAACTAGATTCAACTGACATCCAACCTTGTCTCCTGGGAACAGAGTTTCAGCAGGAAAATTTTATCCTGTTTCTAGTGTCCCACAGGGAAGTGATGTGCTCTGAGATTGGAGTAACAAAGGAAACAGTGTCTAATGAGCAGACATAGGGAGCTATAAATATCTCCTCTGTTATAGTCCCTGTAGATGTAGAACCTTGGGCTGCACAGGACATGGTTGATGCTTTTTGAGTATAAATTTTGGCCGGGGTACCTTCCCAGCAACAGAGCTTCAGTTTTCACCATCAACCATCCAGGGAGGAATTTGGATATCCACACAGATTTTCCTCTCATAGACCTCATCTAGGTGAGTCTATGAGTTTAATAAGTAGTTCAGGAAAGATTCAGAGAGAATGGAAGTGGAAAACTTTTATTTGAAATCACTTGAGAGTCTAATAAGTCTAGTCCAGACTCGAGATATTTGCCATGCTTGTTTGGTAGGTTGGCTAATTAATTTATAGTTCATTTTTAAAATATGTTGAAAAGAGAAATGTCTGATGGACTCAGCAGCATGCATTCTTGTTGATGATTAAGTGATGGGAATGGAAGTCCAGTTGGATCAGAGAGAGGAAGGAAGTGGGAGCATGAAGTGGTTCCAGTAAAATTAGAGGATATTAAAGGAGTTTTCTAGATAATGGGAATAAGAAAAGTAGATTTAGAGGCATGTGCAGTGAACTAAAGACATTTTTTAAAGATGTGATGCATTAAGGCATGTTCTGTGTTAGTTAGAAAGACATATTCCCATGGAGGTAGATACTATGTTGCAACAGAGTTCTTAAGACATACATTTCACAGCATATTCTTTCATGTTGGATATACTCATGAAAAATATGGATTTAATATGAAAACGGGTATGCTACTGAGCTTTAATTTTTGTAAGACTTCTTTAGGAATAAGTGGGAAAGCAATGGAGAAATTTGTGAGAGAGAAGAAAAAAAAATCAGTTAAATCTCGTCACCAATGATAATCATTCACTTAATAACATGGAAGAATTTTGCTAAGCTTTTTACATACATTTGCCTACTGATGTAGAAGGATGAACACCACTATTTCCACTGAGTAAGGGTATTAGTGTTAGAATGGATCTATAGTCTTACTTAAGTTCATACAGCTAACATGAGTTAGTTCTGAAGTTCAGATGCTGGTTTTCTGATTCAGTTTTTTGTATTGAAGATCATGTAGAAAAGTCTTTCCTGGAGAAGGGAATAGCAACCTTCTCTAGTATTCTTGTCTGGAGAATTCCATGGACAGAGGATCTGGGTGGTCTACAGTCCTTTTACCAATTATGTTTTAAAACTTAATTTATTGTTGAACTTTGTATATTTTCTGTTGCTAATATTTCTAGCATAACAATGGTTTCTAATAATTTTTAATCATATTCAAACAATAATCGATTGTTGTTAGTTTCCTAGTGCAGTGTTCAGCCAGTAGGATGTTTCTTTTTTCCTCCTTTGACTGCCATTTTAACAGAAAAAGAATAAAAGCTTTCACATTATAAAACACTATAAAACATGTTTTGACAGCATAAAGATAACGACTCATTTTTCTTTTGATAAATTGTTGTAGGCTGCTTCATTAGGTATTCTGGGCATTGAGGGGTTAAAACTGGGGTTGGAATGCTGCCACTACTAAGGAAGCTTTGTCATCACAGTCTCTCAGGGACCAATTGAGATGATTAGATCTTGACCTGTAGATGAAAGGGTTCAGCATGGGGGTGACCATGATATATATCACTGAGTTCACTAGACTTGTCCTAGAAGATGAAGTGCCTGCAAAACTAAGGTATACATAAACAAAGACATGTGCTCTAAAATAAGGCAACCAGGAAGAGACATGACCCACAGGTGACCCTTGTTTTCCTCCCCTTGTCCTTTTCTTCTTTGTCATATTTTGAACTGCTTTTTAAATTTATCTTTTAATACAGAACACAAAATGGTCACATTAAATGAAGCCCCAAGGGAGGCTCACCAACTAGAACTTAGGTAAAGATGTAGGGTAAAGATGTTTTGATGTTGACAACTTGCTTTGTATTTTTCCTTTCCTAATCATTGTGGCTGGAGTTGAGAACTAGGGAGCGATGGGGCTTCCCTGGTGGCCCAATGGTAAAGAATCTGCCTGAAATGCAGAAGCCTTGGGTTCAGTCCCTAAATTAGGACGATCCCTTGGAGAAGGAAATGGCAACCCACTCCAGTATTCTTGCCTGGGAAATCCCACGGATGGAGGAGCCTTGGGCTATGGTCCATAGAGTCACAAAGAGTCAGACAGGACTGCAGCAACTTAGCATGGACACGCAGGGAGTAATAAGCCCAGTAAGTAAACATGTGCTCTATTTGTATGAGAGTGTGTTTTGGGGAATGAGCAGTTCTCTGGGCAGTGGTACTTAAGTTTATCTACTCCAAAATATGACCTGTAAAAGACAGACACAACAGTGTTACCCAGAAGATGAAAATAAGGAGGGAATCTGTTTGTATTTAAAGGAATCGTTTTAAACTTTAAAGCAAAATAAAAATGTGAAAGGAAGCACATGTGCATGAGGGACTCTGCACCTTGCAGTTTTGGCAGCAGCAGGGAGGTCATCAGCATCCTTTGACGTTGTCTTCCTTTCTCCCCTCACTCATTCCCCCAGACACTTGGGCTTCCTTTTGAGCCTTGACTATTTGAAACAAGTCCCAGCCTCAGTGACTTCACACTGACTCTTTCCCCAACAGGGCACTCTCCTCTTCCAGATAACATAATATCTTCCTTTGTCTTCCATCAGGTCTCTGTTCAAATTTCTCCTTGTTTGAGGTCTCCCTGAGCTCCCAGTGAAGCATAACATTTCCACTCTATCTTAAAAGTCATGGTAGCTAAGTAGTGTCTGACTCTTACGATGCCAGAGGATCTGCCAGGCTGCTCTGTCCATGGGATTCTCCAGGCAAGAATACTGGTGTGGGTTGCCATTTCCTTCTCTAGGGGATCTTCCTGACCTGGGGATCAAACCCAGGTCTCCTGCATTGCAAGCTGAATCTTTACCAACTGAGCTATGAGGGAAGCCCCTGTCTTATACCTGCTTTGTTTTTCCATTTACTCTGTTTTGTAGTGAATTTTTTCCACAGCATCTTTCACTATAAGACATGGCAATGTGTTTTTGTATTTGTTAATTTATAATTTTATTCACTATTGTACTGTAGGGAGTTTTGTTCTTAGCATCCTATACATTCACCCCAGAAGATAGTCAGTATTCAACATAAATTCCTCAAGTGTGTGGAAGAATTTTGCATTTAAACTGGGTACATGAGCTGTTGGCCAAAAGCCTGAGTGTGAAACAGGAATTTCTAATCACAGATGTCACAGAAGATACCTTGAATACTACAGAAATGTGTAATTTACAGCTTCTCACTATGTTAATGTGCAAAAATTAATCATGTTCTTTTTTTGTTTCCTAATAGTGACCTCCAAAATATGGTACCAGGCAACAAAACACAAATTTCAGAATTTATTCTTCTGGGATTTTCAGAGGAACCAGCACTGCAGCCCATCATATTTGGGCTTTTCCTCTCCATGTATCTGATCACTGTGGTTGGAAACCTGCTCATCATCCTGGCCGTCAACTCAGACCCCCAGCTCCACACCCCCATGTACTTCTTCCTCTCCAACCTGTCCTTTGTAGACATCTGCTTCACCTCCATCACCATCCCTAAGATGCTGGTGAACATACAAACACAAAGCAAAGTCATTTCCTATGAAGACTGCTTCACTCAGATATATTTTTTCCTACTATTTGTACAGTTGGATGACTTCCTCCTGACTGTCATGTCATATGACCGGTATGTGGCCATCTGTCACCCCCTGCACTACACAGTCATCATGAACCCTCGACTGTGTACACTGCTGGTACTGGTGTCCTGGATGATAGGAGCCCTAAATTCCCTGTTACAAACTTTACTGGCCCTGCACCTGTCTTTCTGTACAGTCTTGGAAATCCCCCACTTCTTCTGTGAATTCAAAGAGGTGATCCAGCTTGCCTGTTCTGACACCTTTCTTAATAAAACCATGATGCACTTTGCAGTTGCGCTGTTGGGTGGTGGTCCATTCGCTGGGATATGTTACTCTTACTCTAGGATCATTTCCTCCATACGTAGAATCTCATCAGCTCAAGGGGAAGTATAAAGCGTTTTCCACCTGTGCATCTCACCTCTCAGTTGTCTCCTTATTTTATTGTTCAGTCTTAGGAGTGTACTTTACCCCTGCTGTTACCCACAACTCACATTCAAGTGTAACAGCCTCAGTGATGTACACTGTGGTCACACCCATGCTGAACCCCTTCATCTACAGTCTGAGGAATAAAGATATAAAGAGGGCTCTGAGAAAATTCTTTAGGACGGCAACTATATTAGAACCAATTGTCTTGAGGTCTTAGAAATGTTGATTTTTGCAAGATGCAATGCCTTAGAAGCTAAAAGGAGCACTTGCTCCTTCAATTTATTGCCTGATATTTCCATTTATTTGATTTTAATTTCTTTATACAAGTTAACTAGTTCTCTTGACTAACCTTTATGCTATTTGCTATATTTTTTTCCTTTGTCATTTTTTCTACTTCCACAAATTGATTTGCAACCTTAAGTGGAATATATGGAAATTCCCATTTACCTCATGACTCTTCATGCATTCCTTGGGAATAATTTCTTCTGAAGTGAAATGTTTTATATTGAACAATTTGTTTTTCAGTTTCAGTTCAGTTCAGTTGCTCAGTTGTGTCCGACTCTTTGTGACCCCATGAGTCGCAGCATGCCAGGCCCCTCTGTCCATCACAAACTCCCGGAGGTTACTGAAACTCATGTCCATCGAGTCGGTGATGCCATCCAGCCATCTCATCCTCTGTTGTCCCCTTCTCCTCCTGCCCCCAATCCCTCCCAGCATCAGGGTCTTTTCCAATGGGCCAACTCTTTGCATCAGTTTACTAAAAGAAAAATCATGAGTTGTACTATTTCCCTGGGAAAAAGTACCAACTTGGCAACCAAAGCCATTTCCACAATTTCATTAGACAGTCAAATATGAAACTAAAGTTTATCACTTTTTTTCTTCATCATTTATTTGTTCATCACAACCACACCCATGCTGAACCCCTTTATCTGCTTTCTGAGCAAGAAAGACATAAAGAGAAACTCTGAAGTGATTCAATGGGATGGCAGTCACAAAGCAGTCAATTGCCCCGGGGGTGATGAACTGTCCTTGATTTCACAGAAAATAGTCCTGCAACCAGAAGTTGTGATTCTTTGTCCATTGTATAATAAAACTCACTCCTCTTTGTTTCTTGGAACTTCCATTTTATTGTAATTCAAGGTCTTGATACAAATCCAGTGACTCACTTTATAAATAAGCTTTCTCCTCAGTCTATTATATAGGCATTTTTTAAAGTTTTGCTTTTTCTATTTCAAAATTCTCCAAACTTTGGGTATGAAATATTTGGACATTCTCATTTTTCATGGAGTAACATGAGAAAGAGTTTATTCTTAAATGACATATATCATCCCAAGTAATTTTTGCCTTGTTTTCCTGAAAGAATAGTCATGAGATGAATTACTCATATAAGAAAAGTACAAGTGAAATCTAATGCAATGTATATAATTTTATAAGAGGGTTGATTGAATCATAGAGTATGGAATTGTGGATGAGACGCATTGATTGCAGTGTTATAGGCAGATTTTCAAGTGCACAGGGTGTCATTGGCCCAACCCCTGCATTGCTCAAGAGTCAACTCTTTATATATGTATATGTATGTGTATCTCATGATCAAAGGTGACTCACTAGAGAGCTTGACCACCTATCCAGTCCTGTGATTTAGGTCACAATTTGTGCAACCGAACACGTCTGCCAATCTACTGCTTAACAGGGAGGAAACTGCAATGGAGTACTTTTTTTTTTTTTTACAGCAGTTTATTTTTTTATTTTTTTCATTTATTTTTATTAGTTAGAGGCTAATTACTTTACATCATTGCAGTGGCTTTTGTCATACATTGAGATGAATTAGCCATGGATTTACATGTATTCCCCATCCCGGTCCCCCCTCCCACCTCCCTCTCCACCTGATCCCTCTGGGTCTTCCCACTGCACCAGGCCCGAGCACTTGTCTCATGCACCCAACCTGGGCTGGTGATCTGTTTCACCCTAGATAATATATGTGTTTCGATGCTGTTCTCTTGAAACATCCCACCCTCGCCTTCTCCCAGAGTCCACAAGTCTGTTCTATACATCGGAGTCTCTTTTTCTGTTTTGCATATAGGGTTGTCATTACCATCTTTCTAAATTCCATATATATGTGTTAGTATACTGTAATGGTCTTTATCTTTCTGGCTTACTTCGCTCTGTATAATGGGCTCCAGTTTCATCCATCTCATTAGAACTGATTCAAATGAATTCTTTTTAATGGCTGAGTAATATTCCATGGTGTATATGTACCACAGCTTCCTCATCCATTGGTCTGCTGATGGGCATCTAGGTTGCTTCCATGTCCTGGCTATTATAAACAGTGCTGCAATGAACATTGGGGTGCACGTGTCTCTTTCAGATCTGGTTTCCTTGGTGTGTATGCCCAGAAGTGGGATTGCTGGGTCATATGGCAGTTCTATTTCCAGCTTTTTAAGAAATCTCCACACTGTTTTCCATAGTGGCTGTACTAATTTGCATTCCCACCAACAGTGTTAAGAGGGTTCCCTTTTCTCCATACCCTCTCCAGCATTTATTGCTTGTAGACTTTTGGATAGCAGCCATCCTGACTGGTGTGTAATGGTACCTCATTGTGGTTTTGATTTGCATTTCTCTGATAATGAGTGATGTTGAGCATCTTTTCATGTGCTTGTTAGCCATCTGCATGTCTTCCTTGGAGAAATGTCTGTTCAGTTCTTTGTCCCATTTTTTGATTGGGTCATTTATTTTTCTGGAGTTGAGCTGGAGGAGTTGCTTGTATATTTTTGAGATTAATCCTTTGTCTGTTGCTTCGTTTGCTATTATTTTCTCCCAATCTGAGGGCTGTCTTTTCACCTTGCTTATAGTTTCCTTTGCCTTCAGACTATACTACAAAGCCACAGTCATCAAGACAGTATGGTACTGGCACAAAGACAGAAATATAGATCAATGGAACAGAATAGAAAGCCCAGAGATAAATCCACGAACCTATGGTCACCTTATCTTCGACAAAGGAGGCAAGGATATACAATGGAAAAAAGACAACCTCTTTAACAAGTGGTGCTGGGAAAACTGGTCAACCACCTGTAAAAGAATGAAACTAGAACACTTTCTAACACCATACACAAAAATAAACTCAAAATGGATTAAAGATCTAAATGTAAGACCAGAAACTATAAAACTCCTAGAGGAGAACATAGGCAAAACACTCTCTGACATAAATCACAGCAGGATCCTCTATGATCCACATCCCAGAATTTTAGAAATAAAAGCAAAAATAAACAAATGGGACCTAATGAAACTTAAAAGCTTTTGCACAACAAAGGAAACTATAAGCATGGAGTACTTTTTAACACCATTTTCTGTAATAAAATTCAAAGGCAGTAATGCTGATCGCTATCTTTAAGTATCAGAATAAATGCATAGAATAAGAAATCTATTATAATTGCCCTCAGTTTTGTACAATCTTATATTTTACTCAGTTATTGTTGCATAACCACCCACCCTAATAGTAAATGTTTGAATGTAATGCCTTTATTATGAAGTGAGATTTAATATTGAGTTGTTCTGATCTCTTCTGGGCTCCTCATAAGTCTACATGCACTTGAATTTTATATGTTACAACTCTAAAGCTCATCCCGGAGGTTGTATACTGCCATGTGGCAATTCTTTCTTCACTAATATATGATAGTCTACTCCACTTATGTATGTATTTTAATCTTGCAACTTGTGGGGAAAAATAGTTTATCATTGGTGATGTCAGCATCATGGTGGCAGAAGACGCTCCCTGTGTCTCACCTCTTCAATCTACAACTAGTAAAACACCCATAACTAAACAAAGTTTTTCTACCTAACATGTCAGGGCACCAGAGGTACACATTGTTGTACATCTGAAGGTGAGTGGATTTTTCACCTAGAGGAGATGGAACTGGGAGAACAACAGAGGCAGTGATCCTGGTCTCAGCTACACTGCTGAGGCAGCTGAGCTCATTGCCCCAGATGGACCTGGTAGCATCAGTGGAAATGGTACACGGGACCCTGGCCTCCTGGATACAGCAACATATAGAGCCACAGAGAACCAGGTAATACAGATAGTGTAGCCCTTAACCTTGGTCACCCTGGGCATGGCAATAGAGCCTACCATTTTCAGGATTTCTCCAGCAAAGATGATGGCAAAGAAAGAATGTTATAGGGAGCCAGAAAAAAAGAAAAGTAACCTACAAAGGTATCATCATTAGGCTATGAGCAAATTTCTCATCATGTCAATGAAATATCATACTAATAATATTGTTATACAAAACTGTCAACCATAATACTCTATCCAGAAAAGTTATCCTTCAGATATGAAAGAAAGAAAGGTTGTCTCACAGATAAAGACAAACTGGAAGTTCAACACCCAGAACTATTTTATTTTTTTAATTTATTTATTTTAATTGGAGGCTAATTACAATATTGTATCAGTTTTGCCATACATTGACATAAATCAGCTATGGGTGTATATATGTTCCCCATCCTGAACCCTCCTCCCACCTCCCTCCCCATCCCCTCCCTCTGGGTCATCCCAGTGCACCAGCCCTGAGCACCCTGTATCATGCATCAAACCTGGACTGGTGGTCTGTTTCACATATGATAGTATACATGTTTCAATGCTATTCTCTTGAATACAAGCAATATTGAAATGCTGTTTTCCAATTAAAATGAAAAAACAAAAGTACCTGAAAATTGAATAAGGTGATAGATAGAATCAGAAAATTGAAACTATTTATCAGACAAGGTTGTTAACAATTACAGTACAATGCTTAAAGAAAAAAGCATTAAAAATAACT